AGGGCCGAACTTTGGAATGGGTTCGGGTTGGTGTAGAGTGGGTTCAAGCTTAGTTTAAGGCTAAGGTGGGTGTAGGATTGTTCAAAGTCGGGTTTAAGATGGGTTTCGGGGTGTCTCAAGTTTGGCTTGAGATGGGCTTAGGGGGTAGTTTTCGAGTAAGTAGCTTTAGGGTGGGCTTGTGGTTTGGTGGATCTGGTATTTCTGCTGGAATGTGGTTTGGGAAGGGTTGCTGAAGGTGTTCATGATTTCCTGAAAGCGTCATTTGGTCAGAGCTGTTTTCGGTTGGTTGAGTTTTCGATTTAGGATGGGCGTAGGGTCATTTAGGATTGAAATAGAAAAAAATGGGTTTATAGTTTAGGGTGGGATTGGGCTTTATTGTGTTGGTTTAGGGTTGGATTTAGGGTAGGCTTACCATAGGTCTGGGATGTCTGGGGTTGGTCTGGATGGGTTTGGGCTCGGCGTGGATTGTGGTTGGCTTAAGGTTGGTCTATCTAAGGTGGGTTGAGCGTTGGGTTAAGGTTGCGTCTGGTTGACAAAGGCAGATACAAACCATCCATCCCAAAACACGGCCCTCCAGAGAGTTGTGACCGCCAGGTCCAAAATTGTGGCATCCCAATAATTTCAAACCGGTAACAAACATGGCATAAAGTGTCGTAATCAATGACACACAGCGCATATTCAACATCACGGTCTTACAATGTCTTGCATGCCCTGCTGCAAACTGCAAGCTGGCAGCTGGCAGGATCGTTTCTTCCATGCAACATCAAGCAACCACGAGCTTCTTCTTTCAACTGTGCTACATAGAAGTGTTCAGGCTAAATTGAAGTACTCGGGTAGCGCAAACTCACATCACTGGGCATCATGCTGGTCGGATTCCTGCCTGCTGGGCCTCGTCTGTGTCTGCGCAAAGCTGGCTGTCAATGTTGTCCAAACGACGACTTGCCACTGCCAACGCCTCAGAGAGGGGCTAGTGCGCGAGCGCCCTGGCTCGTTCCTAAACATCTCGCTGAACTTACCTATGTGAACATGGCTGCCAACACGCTTGTTTCAACTCAGGATGCTTGATGAAGTCAGTTTTGGCTGCAAAGCTGAGTTGCAAGTCCAGCGTCCAAATAATGCTCACAATGAGATCCTGAACAATACATTCAGCCCGAACCTGATTCATGATCTATCGCCTGCGCCTGCCTGGAGAGTTTAGGAGTTCCACCTGCTTGTTCAGACTCACCATGGTTTTCGGGCATGCTGCTGACAAACATGACACTGGCTGGAACAGCACAGTGTCACGGTTTCACAAACATATTACTGTGCACATATATGGCAGGCCTCATTCGTAGCTGCTTGGGACATTTTGGCATGTGCCACTCTCCGCAGCTTGCTCTTTTGTGAGTGTGATGGCATGCCCGTACGAACTTCAATGATCACCTCAGAGGCAGCACAACACACGCGGTGAAAGAGCTGCCCTTAAGGGCTGCCTGGGCTCCCTTCAAGCCAAATCAGCATGCGGGACATATTCCAGCCAATGCTAGATGTTTGCTTGAATCGTATATGTCAATTTGTATTCAACATATCCGTACAATCCATTCAAGCAATCTATCAGCGGTCCGAGTAAGTCTGTTCGACTTTAATGCTGTGAGGTGGCCCTGGGATTGCCAACCTAAGCCTTCTGAAGCTTAAAATCAGCTGCCTTGAAGAACAACCATCCAGCCATAGCCGAAGCTCAAAGATGCCCACGCGAGACCCAGAACAGACATGCGACATCCAAAGGTCTAAGGCCCGGTCTGCGCGCACAACACTTTCGTGAAAGGACTCGGGCGCTGTCCTGAGCTTCACTCACCCTGGGACAGGCAGAAGTGGGGTCATGAGTCTTACTGACCCTTGTCTTCGTAAGCCAGGCTCCAAGAAACAAGGAACCTTGTTCGGGCGAGCTGTTCGACGGCCAAGTTTCCTTGTTGCCCATCTTTATGGGTGTCCAGCTTGCAGCCAGACCCCCAGAAACGGATCGCGCACTCTGCTTTTGCCTCGCCTTGGCCCCTCCAAATGACCACATACAACTTTGCATTCTACATGCAATGCAGGCCGTGCGGGATTCGCCTCGCCCCCCAAAACACCCAGCCCGGTTTCATGCCAAGCCTCTCAGCTTGGTGTGTCAGCCACTCTCGCAGCACACAGCACGCTTTTGAAAACTTGAACTCCTGCGCAAAGTCGTAGGCTGCTGAGGCCTTGTCCAAGTGGAAGCAGAGCGGATAGAAAGTTCCTTGGGAAGCTTGTGCTTGGGTGCTAGCCAGGGAACAGCAAACTGGCTCTTTTGTGGGTTGCACAGGGGTCCACTTGCGAGCAAGGTGCAGTCAGCGACTGCCCAAACACATCTGTGACAAACCTGAAAAGCCGAAGCCATGAGTTCTGATTGAGTTTTGAACATGGGCCTTGTCCCGCCTCTGATCCTGCAGTCGTTTCCAACAGTCGCGCAGTGAACCTGGTGCATGATCATTTTCTGGAGGCCCCAAAGATGGAAATCGAGGAACCGGCTCCTGGCTTTAGTTACCGCCTGCTCCGGAGCCCACGGCGCTCCCTGCCCCCGTGCCAGGCCGCTGGAGTCCGCTGGGCAACTGGAGGCCTGCAGGTTTTCTGCGAGGCCTGCGGTTGGATGCGGTTCATCTGAAGCCGAATCCCAGAGACAAGCGCGGCAAAGCGCAAAGGAGCTTTGTGACGTATGACCAACTATAAAGTCCTGTTCTGTCCCCGTGGCATGTGGGGTTCTCAACGGTGAACTGTCAATACGGCGTACTTGCAACTTGCAGCCAGCTAGAACCTAGAATCCAGAGCTCAACACACAGCACTATCGCGGATCAAGCAACCACTTGGCTCTTGCGTCAGCAATTCAATGTGCCGCGCCTGACTTGCTGGTCAGCTCGGCATCGCACTCGAAATGGTTTACCATTTGTGGCGGCGCCAAGCCTTTCCAATCAACCTGGTGCCACGCGACAGGCCAATCAAGCCACGCACCCGAACAGCCGCTGGCACGCATACTGGCTGCTGTGCACAACCGGACCTTTTGCACCATCAGAACGTTGCACTGTGGGCACAGCTGGGAAACCCCCAATTTATGGTGGTCGCAAAAATCAAGGGGAACCCTTCCATCAAAGACACACCCAGCTTAAGTTGGAAAGGACTGCAGCCAAAGAGCCTTGCTCTTTGGGCCCCATTTCAGGTGGAAGTCCTCGCTTTCGCGCTCCACCCAGCCTCGAGCCCCAAACTCCTCACGAACCTCGGGGAGCGCTGGCAACACCAGGAACGCATGGATTTCAAAAAGGGCCAAACAGGGCCAACATCATCTCAGTTGCCCAGTTCGGATCACGTTTTGGGACCACTAAACATTGGAATCCCAAATAAAGGGGAAACCCAAAGGTCAGCTGTGAGCAAGTGAGAAGAAATGCAAAAGCTGTCTGCTCTCAAATCCGCCTCTTGGTTTTGGATCTCTTCGTGCGGCTAAATCAAGATCCGCCAGCCTTTCCACTCCAAGGCGCCACCTCCAAATTGGCGCTCTCCGGGTTGCCGGTGATCACCTCGGGCGATCGAATCCTCTCTGCAGTGCACTTTGCAACTCGCAAGCCAGGGAAGGACGCTGAATGCTTTGTCCTTGTTGGCGCAAGAAGGGATAAATGGGAGATCCGAAGTGGACAATACAGGGAACCCTTGCCGGATGTTGCAAACGAATTGGCGAGCCTGAAGCTCGGGACTTTGCAGCCAAAGGGCAAAGTTCCGGTCACCAAGCGACGTGGGCACCGTTGGGAGCCTGGCCATCTGGATTCAAAGCGAGCTTCAGAACCGCGCTGAGTGAATCCCATGCCTTCCGCGGGAGCCGGTCGACAAGGAGCTGGTAGAAAGGGTCCGTGGACACGAGCCGGGTGAGTCGCCTTGCTGCTGGAGCCAAAAAGTCTTCAACGCTTGCAATTCGAATCATACCAAATCTCCCCAATTTGATGATGGAAACGCTGACAAGCACACAGCTAAGCCAGCACTCACATCCCCCCAACAAGAATCAACAACAAGCCTATGTATGTACACACACATACATACACACACACATATATACATATATATATATATACAGGATACAAAGCATATATAACAACAGCTGCGTGCTTTCCGTGAGCCCTTTCTGGCCCATCCTGCCATGCGCGGCAGCTCGACCCGGCTTGGAGAGCGCTTGGCGAAAGCCATGGCTCAAGGCATAGTGCATGCCTCGATTCGACACTCCGCTGGCGCTGTGGGGTCTGCAAACTGCGAGTGCTGCGGGTCAACTCGGTCGTAGCGATTCAGGCTTGCAAATTGAACTTGAACTGGCTCTTGTTGATGACGTGTGACATGTTGTTACAAGCCTTCCGCCCCAACAAACGAAAGGAGCGAAAGGCCGTGAAACTGAAAAAATCGAGCCTTCCATGACAGCGGCATGCGTGAGGCAAAAGCTGCTCAAACAACTTCCTCACTAGTTGAGAGTGGAATCTCACAACTCCGCCCAAGCGGCAGTGTGCCAAACAGGGACCGGATCCCCTACAAGGCGCAAACAGCTTGTTTCCTGACAAGTGCCAAGGCAAACAGCCAAACGCTTCTCGGCGCTGTGAAACATAGTTGCGGAGCAGCAGTTTACCAGATTTACAGTCTCGATGTTTAAACTGGCGACCACTCGGACCACGTTTAGCGCTGCCGTCCAAACACAGGATCGCAAGGTCTTACAATCGACGGTGTTGCAAACAGTCTGTGATGGCTTGGTATGTCGGTGAAGATCGGTGTAGCCCTATGCGCTCTCATCATGCTTGAGTAAGCCCGCCCTGTATTGAAATAGGTGCCAATGCAGGCAAATACGAAGGTCGGGCAACATGCCTGATTTTCAATGCACAGCCGTCTGAGAGCGAGTGCCAACCTGGCCCAATACCTGTTGGCCTGTTTGGCTCGTCAAGGCGTTTGCTTGCCCATCCTCCCCATCCCCCTGTGGCCACAACCAGCACGCTGGTGCTCCAGCTCATGGCGTCAAGGGGCCGGTGCAGTAAGACCCTGCTAAGAGAGCCTTGGGCCTGTCATGCTGGCTTTTCATTCCAAAGAAAGCGGACCTTGACATGTTCCTGTTCCAGGGCTCGAGCTCGGGAAGTAGGGCGCTCAAGTCTCTTCAAACAAAATGCCAAGTGGAAAAGCTGTCGCGCCACACTTGCATGACTTGCTGTTTGCGCCGTCCTCTGAACAGTTCGTCGCGCCACAGTTGGGGTCTTGAACCAGCTAATTACTCTCTTGATCTAGTGGTTCTTGCGGCCAGCCAGTCAGTACCATGGTTCTGTCAAGGGCTTCAATGGCGACCATGTGCCACCCTCTCTAGATGAAAAGCTTCAGGCTTGAATGAATGTCAGCTATTCCGCTGGGCGTTGTTGCTCGAGCCAAGTGTAGAGTAAATAATGCCCTTTGCAGCTGCAACAGTTGCTCACAAGAATGTTCCTTCGCCCCAAGAGCATCATTGAACTGAGGCACCACGCTGCCTTCGAACTGCCCAAGCGTATCTTCTTTCAGATTTCAACATGTGTTGATTCAGCATGTTTGGAGGGTGCCTTCCTTGACCTTTGGGTAAGTCAAGAAACCAACTGAACACAAGCAGCAAGCACTTGTCACCTGCTAATTGGACCTTCAGCTTTCCTCAACCTGTCAAGCTTCAGGAGTCCGGCGGCTGAAATTGTGCGTGTTTTTCCATTCAGCCAATCTTGCCCTGATATCACATATCGCGACTATGCAGAAATCCAACTTGGCTGTGCAGCCCTTCGCCCGGCTTTTGGGGCGCATGGCCTTACGGGCCCTCAAAAAGCACGTGGCAAGGCCGCAGCCAAAGGCTACTCTGATGACCAACAAGCAACCTTGCTGAATGGGAAAGCTAAGTCAGAAAATCCCTGCGGCTGTGATTTCGGATGCTCAGGGCTGCTGTGAAGCAGGCGCTTCACCAGCACTTGTCTGGGGCTCCGCGTGTGCCCTGCCCACAGGTTCCTCACAGGGCTGATGACAAATCCGTTCCGTTTCCCGCATGGCGACGTCTGAGCCCTTTGACCAACTATTGAAAACGACTGTGTGTGAGACTTTGGGCAAATCAGATGTTGCAACAAGTATAAACACACATCTATAGTGCACAACAAGCCTCTCACCGGAATGCTTCCTTGGGCAGTCATGCTGCGAATGACTGTTGCCGAGAAATCAGTTTTGGGACAATGAGGTGTCAAGTCTTCGCGCACTTTGCAGTAGAAAAAGTGTGGCATGAAGCTCGAAGCGGTCCTTCCATGCAGACCGACGTAACAGCTTTCTTGTGGTAGGCTATGCAAGCCTGGCACAACATGCCGGCGTCAAGTCACACCAAATGCAAGCCAACGGCCGGAGCACTGGATGTCTATTCACGTTCCGGCAGTTGTAAGGAACCGTTGTTCCACCGGCCTCTACCATTAAGGACACACACACAAACACACACACACAAAGCAGCTTGTCTCCTCTAACTCTAGAATCACATACGCCATTCTAGTAGGCCGCACTCACGCCACGGCAATCCAATTCGACATAGAAGTGCAAATGCAGCTGAGGTGCTGGTGGCCAAATCTCTGTGTCCTCAGCGTTTGCTGCCGCAGCTCACATGCAATTTTACCAGGCAAGCGCTTTCAACTCCTGCTGGCTGCCAGCTGGAAGCAAAACCTAGCGCACTCATTTCGAGGCTAACAGTGAACACCCGGTCCAATCTCCGAGCAAGACCGCCTCAAACCTTGCGCCGCCATCCCAATACTCACATGCTCGATGCGGGCCGACTTGGCCCACGGCCCGGAGATACGAAAGCGGATTTTTCCTATGCAACCTTTGTGAATGTCGGTCGTTCAAATATATATATATATATATATATACACATATATATATACATACATTTATATATACACATGCAAAAGGGTCACCAGCAAAATGCCTATAAATATATATGTATGCTCACCCCCCCCCCACCGGCCTCAGGTACACCTTTCCACCATGCAAGCTAGTATTTTGGAAGGTGGGAGGCCACAGGCAATATGCCGCAAACTTTGCAGCCATGTATTAGTCCAGCACTTGGATGTTTCCATAAGTTTTGCAGTGCGCGGTTTCTGCTTGAGTATGAACGATACCCATCCAATTAAGCTCTGGTTCCTCGCAACCTGCACAACCAAACCAGAACTCCAAGCTCTAAACCCTGTACACGCACAAACAAATGCAAACATTGCAAGACATGGACCGTTCAAGTCCTGGCACCTGATATTGCATCTTGCTTGGCACTTTCTACATGCTTTGAGCCTGAGCAGGTTTGAGAGCTTTTGAGAAGCCTCAAAACCTGCACAGGCTCAAAAAGCAACAAATCCAAAGCTCAACACTCTAAAACTTGCACAGGCTCCAAAAATGAAACACAACAAAAACAAATGGACGAATCAATTCCTGGCATTTGACATTGCATCTGTTTTCTTTTTCCATGTTGTTTCAGCCTGTGCAGGTGGTTGGAGCTCAACCATCCACAAGAACGCTAAGCTAGTTTGCTTTTGCAGCTTCGTATCGAAACACTGCAATTAATCATTTGCTGACAAAGTTGCATCTGACTTGGTATTCATGTTTTTTGCTACTTGCTTCGCGTTTCGCATCAACCACACAGACAATGCCTGGCACAATGCACACATCTTACAAACGGACACTGAACATCTGCGCAAGTTTTCTCTGCGCAAAGGGTGGAAAGATGGCCCTGCAGGGGTTATACTTTTTGCATAACATGCATGTTACATTCTGTTGCATGCGTCTTTCGAGCGCCAGTTGATGCAACAGGAAAGCACCCTTTGCCGGCCAAGGTGCCCACTTGCAGACGTGGCCCACACCTCCTTTCACCTCAAAGATGCCGGTGCAGGACTTCTGCGTGGACCTCAGAGAGCCGCCGTCAAGAGGAACCGCCTACTTGTTCTGTGACCCTCACAGTTGCTCGTTCGGACCCAGAATGAAAGATGAATCTGGGGCCATGTCCAAAAGTAGACCAACCAAAGGGTCAAAAAGGTTTGCTTTGGACCGTGTCCCTAACCAGAACTCCAAAGTGCCTCCGAAAGGCCCTTCTTCAAAGGCATGCACGTTTGGATACCCCCCCAGCTCCGTAACAGCTCCCTTCCAACCAACGTATATGCTAGGACTGCTAGGATGCTAAATAGGCAAGAAGCGCTCCGGGCTCATGAGTTTTGACCTATTCTTGAGTGGGGGAAGCCACCAAACAAAAAGGGAACACAATGCCACTGAACTGGGACTCATGCTAACCGATTAGGTGGCCCCTTTGAGGGGGAATCAGGATCACTTTGGGACCCCTGAGTGGGATGGTGCTGAAGCTCTAAAGGCTTGCAAGCCTACTTGGGACTTGAATTGGGGATCCCCGAAACAACATCTCGCTCTTTCTCTCGAAATGGGTGTGCGTGGAGTTTCATGCAGCGTCCAACACGTGATCTGATTAGTCTTTGCTGCAAGTTGGCTGAACAAAACTTCATCATATGGCTGATCGTCAACTCTGCGACTCTCACTCCGTCTCTCTGTCTCTCTGTCTCTCTCTGTAGATTGTCTCCTTTACGAACATCGACCAAAAACAAGGCCATTCATTTCTTGAGTAGCATGGACTATGTATGATCATTTGCTTGCTGTTTGCCAAAGGCTGATACTACCACCCTTTTGCTGTGAAGTCACATTTTGCTGATATACCTTGCCAATAAATCTTTCCCCACCAGGAGATCGCATATATATATATATACATCGGGTCTCCTTTAAGTATGTGAGACCGTTCGCGCCGTCTACAGTACCAGCTCTTCGTTGTCAAAAAGACCTCAGGCAGCTTGCGACCAACACAGCTCTTGCGACAGGAGGTGTCTTGTGGAGTCCTCCTTTGCAGCACGGCTTGTGAGTGAGGCCATCACTTGCCACAGTAGGCCACATGCTTCATCTTCCGGCAGTCAACCTGCCAACCATGTGTGGCAAACGGGCAACGGGAAAATGATTACACATGCAGCATAAAAAAAAAGAAACACAAACAATGAAACCCCACATGCAAGTCCAACTGGCGTCAGTTGAGTGGAAGTTAGGAAATCAGCACAAGGTTGCCAACTAACAAATCAATCCAAATCAGCTCCTTGACCAGTAATTCAGAACTGTCTTGCCTGAAGTGCTGGAGCTTGACTTGAGCTTTTTCTTGGTTGCCGTCAAGTCCCAAACCCCGCACTTCCTGCCTGCTTGAAGCCATACCTGGATACCTCACCTGGGAAGCAGCCCACGGATCTTCCTGTGCTCCTATCCATCTCATTTCCACTACTTCCATATACTTTACAAGCACCTCCCCGACAAGCTGTTGCAATCAAACACCCTGATGCGGCTTGCAGCAGCTGCGCGTGCTCTCTCTCTAACTGGCAAAGCTAAGGACATGGTCCGACTGCAACAAACTGGAGATGGAGCCACCCCATAGACAAGGCAACGTCAAATCCAAATGGTTTTTGAAAACCACGCAAACATGATTTCTTAATGGCATTTGAGAGGCAGGATCTTAGGTAGACCCTCAATACTGTTGCAGCTTGCTACAGTTCAGGGTAATGTTTTGACTTTCACTGCCAGTGGGACAAACGGAATTTGAGCCGGTCACGTCACAGGCTCTCCTTGAAATTTATCTACAAACAGGGAAACACATGCCCTCCCGTCCACTAACGTGGAACCTGTTTGAGGTGTCCTGAAGGACTACTTTCCTTAAGGGACCCTCTGGTGGGTTCCACGTTGGACAGGGGAAATCAACATGGCCCTGGGGTACTCATTTCTGGTAGCACTGTGAGACAGCTCCCATGAAGAACCAGGTTCGTCCTCACTGCCTGGGATCAATGCATGCAGACTTCATATGTGAAGTTCAGTCCGGACATTTCTGCTCAAAGCTGAGTAGCTGCCTTTTTCTACTAGATTCTTGGGAGGTGTGTGCTACCAAGGCAAGGGTGTACGCTGCTTGCGGTGTGAAACTGCCTGTTTTGGGTGAAAATTGAAGGCGAAGCTCTGGTTCTCTGCACCCCTGAACCCTCCCAGCTAAAAAGTCAAACAACACCAAACCAGTCCACATTGCACAAACAAAACCCTCCCAGTCAAAGCCTTCAGGCAAAACCAAACCAAACCTGGTGAAGCAAATCTGGCCGCGCGACGCTTTGTGGGGCTGGAAGGTGGGATGTGGTCCCCCTGTCTGGTCCAGTCCCGGCCTGGCTCAGAAACCGCAGCCATGTATTTGTGTCAATTAGGGATTTGGACCCCTGGGCTTAGTTTCTCTCGGTTTCTCTTTGGGCTTCTCGTATCAACCTGCAAAGGGTAGCCTCAAAAAAGCAGACCTCCCGCTGACTTGGCTAGTCTCTCCGAGGGCAACATATGCCGGTATTGCGGTGGGTTGGGCTTGCTGGAGATGGCTTCACGGTGTCTTCGCTGCCAATTCCGTCCTGTTCACACTCTGGCTAGCATTTCCTGCCGCCCCCCAGGCAATGTAACAGATTCGGCTTGCCGATTTGAATGCCAAGCTAGGCTGTGAATAACTCGTCTAGCACGTCAGCATGTCAGAGGTGCAACCAGCTGAAGCATGACATATTTGCCATTGCGCAACATTTCGAGCGATTGGGATCTTTTGGGCAATGGACGCCTGAAGGATCAGCGAGCTGTCCACACCCTAGGCTTGTCAACGTAGGACAAGTTGAGCCAGCAACAGCAAGATTGCTCTCTTCCTCTGTCTCTCTCTCTCTCGCTCCCTGCGCGTCCTCATCTGAGTCCGTCTCTGCTGGGTCAGGCTTGTACGACTCGGAATAAGATGGCGGGTCCTGATGACAGCTTCAATGCTGCAGCATCCTTATGTTCAGTTCCAAGGGCCCCTCGGAGAGTCGTAAGGACAAATGCTGGCCGCGAACTCCTAACAACGATTCGGAGAGATGGGCATACAGGCCAATCTGTGCCCCTAATATCCCCTAATATTTGAGAAAGTTTTTCTTTTTGCGGTAGAATCGGCAAGCAACAAGCAATTTATTTGGCCAGTTCAACTATATTGGCCACGGGAGTCGCCGATCCACGCCTGAGCATCCAAGAGGGAGCCGTCTTCCTGGATCACTACGCGCTGTGAAGCCACCTGGCACCGTGTGCTTTCGCCTCTCCCCCACCCAAAACAACTCTTTTGATGACTCTTTGGGTGTCACCAGGACTAAGCCTCCAGCATGCGGCTGAGTGTTTCAGTTTCAAGTTTCAAGTTGGGAGGCAGAGATCATCAACCCGGCCTCCATATTGAGAAAGCTCACATGCAAACAACCGTTTTTCCGACAGCCCTAGTCATCCAACACGTGGAGGCCAAACACCCAAGGTTGCCTAAAACCTTCTCATTGGACAGCAAGTCGTGGACCAGTTACGAAGAGAGGCATCTCTCCCCCTCACTCACACGCAAACTACAGCGCGTGAGGCAAAAGCTCTAAGTAGCCAGCGGAGGTGATTTTCTCCACTCAAGCGAGGTTTTAGTCTTGCTCAGCGTGCAATGCCCGCAGCTGCAGCCCATCTGCCGCTGTCAGGCAAGGGTGCTCCATATGGGGCACAGGTCTTGTCTTAAAAGTGCTTGCATCCCATTGGCATGAACGGTGACCTCCTGCTGCGAAGAAACACTGAAGCCTCGTGCTCTATATCGGAGGTCGGCGCTCTAAGTTTTGGGAAAATGCCCGAAAAACGCCTGCTGTCCACGATGGTTTGCATCAATGGCAGGGCTTAAAAGAGCTGTACCGCAGGTACTTGCCGCTATCTACTGCATGACTGCGAGAAGCTTGCGCTTGTGCAACTTCTCCGGGGCGTCTCCCAATTTGGCGCCGTGTTCCATGCAAAATGGGTAATGGGCCCCACAGCCAAAAGGGACCTGCTGAAGCCTGGTGGCAGCCTGAAAATGTGGAATTTGGCCGGGCTAACGTCTTGGGAACTGATCCGGACGGCATTCCCAGGCGCCATTGCTCGCGGCCACATCTGCCCTCGTCGCCTTCGCGACTGGCTCTCCTACTTCCATGGATTGACGCCAGGGAACCAGAGGCACACATCGGCCGAGGCGTCCCTGTGCAATGACATGCTGAAATGTGTTGGTTGCTGCACTTTGGCGAGGCATCACGCTCTCCAAACCGAGCAAATGATCAAAAAATCTGATGCGATGCCCGAGCTGAATCTAAAGGTTGCACTGCCTTGCAGGATGCCTTGCCCAAGGACCTCCAACCATCGCCGTTCGGCGATTCGAACTAAACCCTTTAACTTAACGAGGGTCACAGTCCAAGAGCCTTGTCAATGCCTACTTCTTATTGGCCCCACGCACTGGGCTATCTGAGATTCTGAGTCTCTGAACTTGATGTGTTATACATTGCACGTGACTTGGCTCATCGGGCTGCCCACGCCAAACGTCGGAGGCTCTGCGCGAGCCAAATCGGATGACCTTCTGGCTTGACCAGATTGTCCTCGGCACAGCAGGCGTAACAAAAACCACCAGGCAAAAGGGCAAATCATGGCAAACGTGGTCTAAACCGGGCGGGCCTGGCCAGTTTGAGCGGAAGGGTGACGGCTGGCCAGTGGCACATGTTGCCGTGCATCATGTGTTACGCTGAGATATGCAGGCCAAGCTTCGATGACAAAATACTCCACGGCGGCGTGGTGAAAATACCGCAGGCTGATGAATCGCGAGATGCCCAGAAGGAAGGCATAGGCCCTCGGAATCGCAACCACAACCGCCTACCGAAGCGCTCATGTGAAGCACATAAACGTGGCATTGGCCTGTTGCCACTCCCAAATGCAGGAACTGCAATGGGTGGAAAACATTGGGTTGGCATGGCGAAGTGGCCACGGCACAGCTAGGGACCCCATGTGTGCAATGCATTGGTTGAGGTGACGCAGAAGTGCCGCGTTCTTGACAACCGGCACGTTGCATTCACGACATGCAAACTATGTTTTTTTAGGCACGCACAATGAAAAAAGAACAATTCACAAGCAATAGCACCAGCCCCGTTATTGGCAAACGGCCGCCAAACATGCACCGTTTGCGGAACTTGCTCCAGCACCGCCCGACGAGGCAAGCTTTTTGGCACTGTTGGAAAACAAGAAGGCAAACACCAGCAACAATCGAGCGGGTTCCAAGAAAACAGTCTGAAGGGTGAAGCCTTGTCTACTTAGGCCTTGTGCTCATGCGGCTGGCACCTTCAACTCTTGAGGCACCTACTAGCCCCAACCTGTGCCCTCGCTTGTCCGCAACGGTGCAGGCCAAGCTCCAAGGTCGCAAACATTTGTCGCATCTTCACACTATGGGTTCATGGCATTTACCGTGCCACCTTCGTGTTCGAGAACAGCATTTTGTAAGTCTGTCGCAATGGAATTTGTATGCCATGGCTCCCGCTCACCAAGCCATAGGTCAGGGGATCGTCCATGCCGGTGCCAGCCACCACATGGTTCATGCCCCAAACCCATGCCTCGGAAACGGCAGTCAAACATCGATGTGAGACATGACATAGGAGGTCTCTGGTGCAAACCTTGAGTTTGAGGGATTCTCAAAGTACAAAAACCTAAAACCCTACTATGACATGTGTCTATGTTCCACTGTGCGGGAGGGATTTGTAAAGGGGCTCCCCCTAAAAAAGGTGGGGCAATAGGAAAACAAATTGGGGGTTAGAGTTATGCCTACTCAAGTAGTCCCTCGGTAAGTACAGTACAGTACTTGCTTAGAATTGTGTTCGCATTCCGTTGAGCTGGCCCAGTACTATTTAGAATTGGTTTAGTCTTGTTTGAGTATTCCTTTGCGAATATTGGCTTAGCATTTGTTTGGTATTCCTTGGTACTGGCCCAACGATCTTTTTATGTTTGCTATTTTCAAACATCTGTCACTAATCCCAAACTTTTCGGGGCTTCCCTGTTTTTACCCCCTTGAATATATGCATGTGCGGCTGTTCTAGTAAAGGGTGTCGATTCATAATAATGTCTCTGCCGTTTGGGGCCTCAGTTGCTTTTGCTGGCTCAGAATTGGCTTGGTGTCGGTTTACGATTTGTTAGTATTGGCTTTAGGCTTGATTAGTAGCAGCTTAGCATTAGTCTAGTATTGCCAGGGCTTGGGATCACACTTTTTGCGAGCACTTCATGCCGCTGTGTCTTTTCAATGCGGGGAATCATTGTGGGAAACCTTGATTTGCCTCCCCGTTTACAAAGCGCTACGGGGCATTACTTTTTAACGCCTCGACTTGGAAGTCATCAAAGCATTACACGGCACTACCAGCCCCTTGGCTGGTCAATCGGTGTAATCAACACATCGCCCGTGCCTGCAGTGTGTTGTTGTTGTCTGCCATGAAGACCTGCCTCCAGCTCACCTCCTCACTGATGCCCAGCCTGGGCGTTCAAAAGGCTGCAACGTGGCATGGCTTCAGACCTTCAACAAAACGACCTTTTACCTCTGGCTTTTGTATTCGGCCTGCTTGAGCAGGGCCAGATTTCTGAAACCCGACTGTGCAATTTAACATCTTTTTTGTTACAAGGGCATCCACAGCTGCTCGATCCTGACCTTAGCTTTGCACTGCATAAGGCTGACCAGCTGTTGGGCTTCTGGCTGGCACCTCTCTAGTCAACTACCGGATGGTTCCATAGGATGACTCCTTCGCGGTTGGTTCCCCAATCCGAGAGAGCAACGGCGACGAAGCTGTTCTTTGAACGCCAGGCAGCACCACAGACATGATGATCTTCCAGCCATGGTCCTATGGCAGTGCGCCAGGAAAGCGTTGAAGTTTTCGGCAGCAAACAAGGTTCCTTAAAAGATACATCCAAAAGCAACCTGGTTTGCAACGGCGATCTTCAAGGTGAAAGTTGTTTTTCTAACTGGCCCTAGATGTATCCTTTAAGACCCTGGCAAAAAGCAGTGCGCCAAAGTTTGAGGTGGATGCTGGGCCCAAATCGCCTTCCACCCTTTGATCGCACATCTCGCATCAGCGGGACAAATCATGCAAGTTTGGGGCTCCATGTCAATCAGTACTTCGCTGCCCGCCGGTTGGTGCCCCCACCCCCACCCTCCCCCCCTCCCCGGCCCGCCTCTGACATGAAGTCGGAGAAGCCTGCAGACTGCTTCTCCAAGGCCAGCGCTGTTGCCAGAATGCCAGAGACCACCAGCAGGAAATTCACCACCTGAGTCTCCCCCAACTTTGTGCTTAGCGTTTGTCAACCCACAACTGCCACCCATTTGCAGAAACCAGGTGGGTGTTTCTCAAATACCAAGCAAAGCGGGAAGGATGAAGCCCGATTTGAACACTGGCTTGATTAACCACCTACCAGGTTACACCCTCTTGGCGCAGCAGTCTGTGCATCGCAAGTCGGAGGCTCAACTTGATCACATCGAAGTGCCATTATATAACTTCTTCCTTTTTGATTTCGAACAAACGATGCAAACATGGACACATAAGCTCACCCTTCGGCCAGGTGGCTCGTTGTGTCCATTTCTCCAGGCATGACCTTAAATTCAGAATTTGGCCTGTGAAACTGGATGATTTGTGCTTGCCAAGTCAGGAAACTGAGCCGACTTAAGATGAGGCAGGGCTATAGACGCATGCAATCCCCAACACGCATCCACTATCCCAACACAGCTCAGCTTTCAAAGTCAAGATTGAACAACCAAACAAATCTAAATCTCTGCAAACCATGGGTGAAGAATCAAACGGATCCCAATCTCTGCAAACCAGGGGGAGCAAATTCATAGCTACACATGTCAAGCGTCGGCAAAACATTGTCGGAGCCTTTGTTTCAAGGTATGCGAAGCCGCGTTGCTCTTGCTTTCTGTTTGCTTTATCATGCAATTCAAGCACAATTATCGGAAAATGTGCATGCGCATATTTAGGCGAAGTCCATACTTGTTTTTGCCTCTCTAGAGCAAAATCCTGAGCTGGTTGGTGAGTTGATCCAGGCCAGCAGCAACGGGCGTCAGCAGTTGGCACGCATGCTTGCCATCCGCAGCAGGAAAGGAACTCTGGCTCACATGACTTCAAATTGTAGCAGCAATGGTTGAGTCATGGAGCTTGCGCGTCTCCAGGCATTCGATCTCAAAGCATGGCACCTGGCATCTTCGCGATTTGAACAACTGTGAAAGCACTATGACCCGGAGCGAGCAATAATCCTGACTGGCTTCAAGGACCATGTAGAGGAACAATGTGCAACAAGTATTGCTAGTGCTTGTCAGCGATCAAGATCATGCAACCTACCATTGACATTTGGACGTGTTCCTTGCAAATCTGCTCGGGCCGATGCAGGAGCCTTAACTTGCAGTGACAGCTTGGATGGGACACACTTGCGCAAAATGCCCCTCCCAAACCACCTCCAACTGAAACACATGCTGCTTACGGCGAGAAACGTGCGCTCCGCGTACAATGGCAAATTTCAAATTTAGCGGCAGTGTGGGTTCCGTGTACCGCATGAAGCAAGACAACCAGTGCTTCAACTCAACTCCCCGCGCCTGCTTTTGCCAGATTGTGCCAAGGCCAATTGGCTGAGGCTTGGTGAATCTGGGCAGCAAGTCACGGCACTGCTGGGAAAATGGCTTTTGCCTTCTTCTCGACAAGAAAATGCTGCCGCGGCTGCTTTTGCCCCAACCCCGTGCCAAGATGTGCAAACGGATTTGTTCTATCTCGGTGCACGCACTCGCCAAAACTCACAATGTATTGCCATGCATATAAACCTTGGTTGCTGTTGACCCCCCTGCAAAAAGGTTCACTTTTTGCGGGTTTAGTGGAAAACCGAACTTGATTTCAACCAGAAAGTTAAAAAGATCCGTTGCCCAATAGCAGTCAAGAAATGATTAGCTGCCTTTTGCTGAACACATGCCAATGGGTTTCAGCTTGGCCGCGCGAGGATGCAAAGCCCGGAGAGCAGCTGCACTGATGCGGAGAGGATGTTCCGATAGTACTCGGGGTTGGTCTGTGTCTCCCTCCTTAATGTCTTCACAAGTCGTGTTTTTTATGTTCCGCAGGTTCTTGGGGCTGAAGATTGAAACTGAAAGCTGCGCCAAGCTAGCTAGGTCTGGAACTAGTAGCCCCACAAACATCTCAACAAACGGACTCCAACAATAGACATGAAACGTGCTTTGAACGATCCGTGCTGGAACTTCTCCATTATGCTACCCCTAGCCATCACGATCCGCCGACCGTCGCTGCTAAGCGGGAAGGCGCCCGTAATGCTAGCCACGTATGCCGGTGCTTAAGCTTGCAAAGGATTTGTTCGTTAAGCGCGCAATGCTCGAAAGGGGCATTGTTTTTGCTGACAAGGTGGGTGCTCAGCCAACACAATGCCTGTGGCTTCATTTTGGCGGGCGCATTGCAGTCGTTGTTGGGGTTGCTGCGCACAAACTTGACATGCTGGTGATGCCAGCCCATGCCTTGGCTGCGGGCTGTACTGCCAGCAGCATTTGTTCCGCGCAGCCCTTCGGGAGCAATATTTTTGGGCTGGAGCTTTGTGGAGGGTGCGACGCGGGCAATGCATTCAAGCAGCTGGAAGAGCGGCTGAAAGCTGCTGTTGGCTGTGTTTTGGGTGTTTTTGGCGCGGGCGTGGTGAAAATGCGAGTGATTCGGGCATGCTTGGGCTATTGATGTTGGCGCTTGAGGATACAGTGCAAACCCTGGAATTTGGGCCTTCAGCGTCACTCTCGCCTTCCACGGGAGCTCTTAAAACGCGCCACAACGCCTACAGTATGTCTTGGGAATTGCCTTAGCTGCGAGCTTTTGCTTTGCCAAATCCATGTTTCAACTTGCGCGCAAGTCTCATGCCACCAAATGTGCTCACACCGATACGGTTTCTCCGACTTGGCACGCCATAAAGGCAAGGGAAGGCAAAGCTCGGGACTGACACAAGCATTAACCTTGCTGCAAAGTTCGCTGCATTGCTGACTTGGACACCAAGATCGTAGGGAAAGCAATGAACTTCAAACAGCGTGGGCCTGCTTCAGGCATGCATCTGTGGCGTGTGCTAGAGGGCAGTGCTAGTCGAGCCTACCCAATATGCGGTTCGACTTGCTTCAGGGATCTCTGCCTGCCACAAGCAAAGGGAATGCCAGCGCAGGTTTTACCTGCTGCTATTTCTAGAGCTTGTGACCTGGGATTGCCAATCATCTTGCGCACCCTAAGGATCTTCACGTAACAAACGCAACAGGTCCAACAATGATCTCAACAGCTCGAGCAGGATGCCTGAAGCGTATGCGTTGGGGAATCAAGGCACTGGCCAAACAAGCCCGGGCTATCCCAGATTGCTTCCCCAAAGCCAGGCAAACTACAAACAGCAACAAACACATGCGATGTAAACATATGCCGTAGCTGCAGCTTACGCAACATGACTCCTTGAGAATACTCTCACAAGCTTCGACTCGCGATTTTTCCCACGCAGGCGCTTGCCAGCACACACCACTTTTGCTGCCTCAAGAAGGTCTTGAAGTTGCTCAGACTGGAAAAGTGGCAGTGCAATTGCTGCAGGAGAAGTACAGCATCAAGTGCTGGACACACTGGTCAAATCAGGTGGATGTCTGCGCCATCCGAATAGTTCGTGTGGGATCCACGCAGAGGACTGGTGGCATAACATACTTTGGCTCGACTGCACTGGGCAATCTCCAGCAATCTGGGATGGGGTGCGCGTTGCCTTGTCAGAATCTGTTTGTCTAAGCCTTGCCATCTCGGGGGCGAAGCCCTTGAATTTTCAAGATGAACCCCTTTTTCGCACTAAGAGCCAAGCCACAGAATCGGGAACAGGCCTTGCAGGCCGACCAATATAACATTGCGCCAGGGGTTAATGGCGAAAATCAGGTAGCTCCTTGGACAACGCTTCGCAATTTGCAGCCCAATGGGCATGCATGCCCCTTGCCTGCTGCAATCACCCGAAATCATGGGGTGACCCAGGCTGAAGCAACTGGCTGATAGGTGTCAATCACTCGTGAACAGTAGGCTTACGAACAGGGCACTGCCTCCTGCTTGTCTTACGCAAGCGTTGAGTTCGCGTAAGCACGAGTAGCATGCCATCACGGTAAATTGCACATCCTGTCAATTGGTGGCTCATGCACGCGCACACAAACAACCCCATCCCATCCACACGCCGACACGCTCACACACCCACCAACATGAATTAGCACAACGTGCTCATACACACTCATTCATCATGGCCCCTCAAGTATCACACATGCACGCACGCGCAAGCACGAATATCAATACGCACACATGCGCTTTTCACACCGCATCGGCACTGCCCTCTGCATATAGTGGGCAATGGACAAACCTCATGCATATTTGAGGGGCCACAGATCTATCTTAAAGTCTGAGACAGGCAAGAGCTTCAAATGCGAAGCCAAAGGCACGGTTTGCGCGTCACCGCGAAAGACAATACGAAAAGCAGCCCCGTAAGGTCCGCCCAGCGCAGCTCAAAGGCCATGGGCGTGAAAATCGAGGGCTCCTGACCTGCGTGTCTTGGCGCAGGCGAAACACGGTTCACTGTCACGTCTGCATGCTTCAGACTCGATAAACTTGATTGACTAGGCAAGTGCCAGAGCAAAGCCATTTAGGCCAGGACTGCGATACACAAAGTACACCATCGTCACGCACAGGTACCAGAGAAGGGGCAACAAGCGCTTCATCTTCTCCCTGGTCGTCTCCGGAGGTGCCACCGGGTCCTGGCCCCACACAGAAATTTCCTGAATCATCTGAAGTGGCTAATTATTAACAAGCCTCTGCCAAACTGTCAGCACACTTGGCTCCTCTTGGCTGGACGGCTTCGCATCCTGGGGCGTTGGATTTGTGCCGAATCCCTTGTCGCAGCTTCACAGCTTGAGGTGAACGAAATTGAACCCTCAGGAAACTAAATCATAACCCCGCACGGTTCAAACATATCATAAGAGCTGTGCCTTTGACCCAGTTGGCCTTTCTATGCCTTTCTCCCCCACCTCGTGTCACAGGTGCATTATGCGCAGCTGGCTGCTTCTAACTGGTCTTCTGCGTTCCCACTGCTGCAAAATCAAAGCCACATAAAAAGAGAATTCCAACAAACTGCATGCACGGGCATTCTTGCGGGTGCAATGACAAATGTCCCCCGATCACATGCCAATCATCCCCACACAGCTTGACAGAATTCGAGGTGGTGCATAAGGGCAGGAAGGCTTTGACAAAAGCAATGAACACCGCAGCCAAAAGAAAATTGCTACCACGAAACGCACGCATGCCCCCTTTTGATGGAGGCGACTCATGGGGCAGTGCCAAGAAACCCCAGCAAAATGAAGGCCTCTGCTGATTGCCGCAGGTGTACCAGCGCTGAGGTCCTTTAGCATACCCTCCCTCCCACAAACATGGCACCTGACCCTTGAGGAAACTGATCTTCCAAGTGCCCTGCCACACGTGTATAGGGACTGGAAAGGGCGGGGCAGGTACAGGGAAGCTCAATGCTAAACGCTCCATTCTGCAGGCTGCTGCCAAGTGTCCGCCGCTTTCCCATGCTCCTGGCATCCACCATCTTTGACGCGTGGTTTGCAAAGGCATCGGAACACTCCATCAACAAGGGCCTATCATGATGCGCATGATGGGCAGCTCATGATGCGCAAATCTTCTTGGACATCAAAACGTCAAACGGAATGCCGTCACGCCTCTTCGGAATATCCGCATCAAAGCAAACACCTTTAAACATCACCGCGCACATGCCATTCAAACAATTGGGTGGTGGGCGCCTCATCCAATACGATATCAACCTGGTTGCTGACGTCGATCGATGTGTTCCAGTGGTCTGCTCGCAGCTCATCTGCCGTCCTGGCGAAGGCCGAAAGGGGGTCCTGTCGTCTGGCTGTGCTTCTGACAAAACAGGTTGTTGTTGGCCTCAGGGTCGAACCCAATGGCCGTGAGTCAGCCACCCATTCAGGTGGCGTCTATTGGGTAGACTAGGCACTTCCGACCCTGCTTGAAACAATCTTTTGGTTGTTGCTCCGTGCCATCCTAGACCCACGGCAGCCAGGCAAAAATGCTGGGGCGTGTGACAGACCCACATGCCGTGGGATGCAGTGCCATTCTCCGTAGGTTGACAATGTCATGCACGTGCACTGCCATGCAACACCATCCGCCTTGCATTTCAGCTGCTCTGAAGCCAAAACGCCAAACCAAGACCAAAAGACTCCAACTGATACTGGGCGAGTCTAGCAGCGCACCTCGTTTACAGTCTTTAAACATTATATTGTAGTGACGCGTAGGTTTCGATGTTGACTCACATCCATGTCCTAATATCCAACCTCGAATTGAGAATTAGCCATTCGCACAAGCCAAAACAAAATGTATTAAGTAGGAGGGGGCATCTTTCCCTGCCAAGCAGCTGCAAAGGGCAAACGTCGTGGTCCTGGCCGCTGATTTTCGCTCGATCCGCTCACACATCCCCATATATAATGCCATAGGTTGTAAATGCAATTCAGAATGTTGCGAGCGCATCCTTTAGCCACAACAGCATCGACAGAACCTCACCACATCTACAATTCGCCCCCTCAGAAGTGGTTAGCGGTTGTAAATGATGTAAATGAAGTCCACGAAAGGGTCCAAATTTCCAGCGATATGTGTTCTCAGTGTCGCTATGCCGAGTCCTGAGCCTGGGTTGTTGCCATGGAGTCGCTGCTTTTGTGGCCTGGCCCCCGGAGGGCCTGCGTCGCACGTGGCGTGGCTCGCTGGCTTTCAAGGCGGCTAACATGTTGACCAGTAACTAATCCGAAAAGGCAACGGCATCAGAACCACAACAGCAGGTGTAGCAAAGCCCTCGTTCCAAGCCTAACGAGTCTTGGCTTGGAAATCCAAGAACGCGATCCAAAGCCCGCTTTCAGCCGCTTGTTCCCCAGCGAGCCTCCGTTGGAGGCCGCTCGTCTGGCACGCATTGCTCCAAATCCATGACTGCCCAGCGCTTTGCCGACCCAAGCTGGGGCAGCCAAAGCACGCAATGCAATGCTCCAAGAAAGTCTCTTGACAAAGTTCTCTCGTCACTGAAAGCACAATGTCTTGACAGTGGCTAAGTTCGGAGGCCTGATTTCACAATTTTCTTGTTTGTTGCGGTTGCTTGTCAAGTTATCTTGGGCCCCCCCTGGCAAGCATCTTGTGAAGTCTCGCATGGCGCCCGCTCGAGCTACAAATGGCCTTCGGAGTGGGAGCGGCCACGTGCCCACCCACGGGGATGGCCCAGCCACGTCGGTAGAAATGGCTAGCACACATTTGGTAGCATGGGCGTCCACAGGAATCTTGTCCAGCAGCGTGCCCATGCGGGAAGCCTTGTCGTGAAATGAAGCATTCACTTTAGTTGCAGCTAGGACAAATGTCCCGGACCATGTCCTTAGAGCACAACAGCTCCTTGATCCCAGCAAACAGTACTTATGCACGTTACATGCATGTCAATGTGATTTGATTGTTTCCCGCTGGCCGGTAGGAACCTCATGCCTTGTTTCAGGCCTATGAGACAGGCTCTATGGCATGTGGACAAAATCCACACCAAACACAAATTCGCATTAATACCTAGTCAACCGGTTGTTGAATCGAATTTCAGTGCTCACAGGTGCCGGTCGCCCATGTTGTTTCTCGAAATAGGAATCGCTCCCCTAAAGTGACTAAAGGGTCGTCTTCCCCTTTGGCTTCCCTTGCCAAAGAGAAACCCATCCAGTCCACTGCGATCCTGCAGAAGCCAAAAGCAAAGCGCTGCCCAGGGCCTCAGCGAGTGGATTAGGGAAGCCAAGGGGAAAGAAACACACTCGGCAGATTTAAAGAGAAACCACCAGTCAGGTCAAGGAAAGTGAACCAGAAAGCATTGAAGGATGGCGGCTATTTGGATAGCAGGGTAGACGTTTGATGTTGTCAATGTGTCTGTGTGATTTGCAGCCATGGGCCAAGTATGGGTGTTTCGCCTTTTTGCTATTGTTGATTGATCTGGTTGGTGTTGCATCGTTCGTACTTCTTGCTGAGTGACAGTTGCTTGCGCCCAAAGCTGCATCCTACCCAGCAGCTATGCCAAGCTGCATGGTGAGGGTTGCCCCCAAAAGGAGATCCTACAAAGACTGTGTTTTCTGGGTTCCACGTTGATGTATAGGGGGAATACTTTTTGGAGACCGCCATTTAAGTACATTCCCTCCTTGTCGCCGGTGAGCGAAGGGTGGGTGCTTAAGGTGAAGATTGCCGTTTTTGAACACAGGTCCCATTGTGAGATCCTAGTAGAAAGAGTAACAGCAACACATCTGGAAGATCGTTGTGCCCAACTTGCTCATTGATCCTGTCTGAGAGGCCCACCGCATGCCTTGCCGCAAGGCCTTGGCAATGATTAAGCGAAGAGTCAGTTTGTCAAACGCTGAAACTTTGTCCGCAAAAGGCGTGATGTTTCCCAACAAACAAGAACTGGCAACATGCATCAGGTATGTTTGACTTGAATTGAGTGCAACCATGTGGACAACACTTCTCGGTATCCTTGGGCGGCTCGTTCAACTGGAGACTTTTACACAACCTCCCTTGTCACGTGCAAAACCACGTCCACCAAACGCTTGCATTGTCGAACCAGGTATGCAGGACTTTCCTGATGCAATCGCTCAAAAAGAATGCAGCTGCCTTCCACTTCAATGCCTCAGGAGCCGGCGTCAACATGAAACTGGATGGATTGGCAAACTCACAGCTGGAGCCGCGGTAAGCGCATTCCCATGAGCACATCCAATATTGCTCTGGCCGAGGTTGCATCTTACAGCAGATATAGTCTGCAAGGCAGGCGAGCCATGTATGTAGAAGGAAAACTGCGCAGCAAGTGTGGCATAGCAACACGCGCCCTAACCATCAAGTCGCGTCTTCAGCACTGGCAGTAGGCAATGAATGGGCCATGTCAGCAAAGGTGGCCGGACAGCCAGCAGCGAGTTCTGATTTACTAACGCCGTGGCCTAGCCGGCCAAAAGCCAGGCTAACGGTGAAACATGCAGGTGCTGCTCATGAGTCCACTTTGAAGACCTGGCATGCGCACCGAGGAAGCTTGGATACCCTTAATAACAATGACTAGCAAGCTCTCACATTCATTTGACTTCAGCCAACCTGCAGCTTTCGTCAAAGGCCAAGTGCATGCTGCCATGCTTGCAGCAATGACATCCTCAAACGAGTTGCTGAGTCGCAGGGCGCTACGGAACTGAGTTTTGCATAAGCGGAGGGGCCCTTCTCGCTTGGAGACTCAGGCGGCGAAAACTCTCCTTTGCTACCGGTGCACTCCTGAAACTGACCCTGGCACATATTTCCCTGAAAGGTACCCTTCACCATATCGTCGAAGTGTGGCCCCTACAACGGCTCCTTCAAATGAGCAAATGACATGAACCAAAGTGCAATTGTTAGGATTCACTGCGCCCAACAGTGGGCAGGACAAATCAAGTCCTGGCGTTGCTCTTGAGCAAGTCAGGGTGGCATCTAGCTCTTTGGACGCAAAATCTGAAGTGTGTCACCTGGCAGCTGGCGTGTGACATTCCTTCACATCAATTGGCACTCACAAATGCATCAACAACGGGGCGGAGTTTGCAACCGTGTAGGTCCAAGCTGTGCTAATCAACTCCGGATGTAAACAAATATATACACCAGCATAGATCCTAGATAGCGAAAGACTGGCTGAAGATTC